AAGATTCAAAGTCCAGTGAAGAAATACTGATTGAAATTGAAATTATCTATCCTCCTAAGATCCTTTGAATGACTTCCATATGTAAGATTTGCAGGGCTTTTTTTTTTAAAAAAAATGTTTGTTACAAGGACGTAGGCATGGCATATTTTATGGCACCGCTTCCAAAAAGTCACAGAATTTTGTCTTTCAAACAACAATCAATAAAAAGTTACAACAGTTAAGGGAGGCACAACCGGCCACTGTAATTTCTGTAATTTCAAATATTGTGGACAGAAGGGTAGGCTTAAGTGTGTTTATTTTCCAACAGAATAATTTAGAGACTACGGTTTTGAAATAATTGCTACCTGTGTAATGAGATGGTTACGGATCAGAAGAATCTAATGTATTAAGAGATATCTGTATAATTAATTCAAATATACAAATTATAACTATATCCACAATTTTTCATGATTGAATACGGAACTTGTCGGGACCTTATGCTTTACTAATTAAAACCTAAAATGATGGCAAGGCAGCTGTCTGTAGATTGGAGACACATCTTTTGCGTCCTTGTGGCTTCTGCCTCAAAATGTTTGGAAAACAGCCATAGATCTTCTCAAGACAAAAAATAAAAAAAAAATGAAAAAAGAGGTCGCAGAAATAACACCGAAAGGACACTTTTATTAGCAAAAGTTAAAGACCCCCAACGTCCCAAAAAGGCACAAAACAAATTGGTTGTTTTAAATCCAGATATAATTAGAAATTAGTTCTGTTTTTCTTAGGATGGACTTGGCATTTCCAGAGGGTTCCTTAAAGCTCAACTTACTCTCCCCTCTCAGGAAATCAAGGCTAGTGGAGCAGAAGGGGGGGGGGGATGGACGGCGGGTCCCCCCAAGAAGCAGACCTCGCTCTTTCCCCCTTCCTCTTCTCCATCTTCGTCCTGCTCGGAGGGAGTCCGCCCATCCGTCCATCCGTCCCTCCGTCCCAGCGTGGGTTGATCTCTCGCTCTCTCTTCCCACCGAGGGAGGCGTCCCACGCCTGGCCAGCCGCGGCTGAGGAGGGCTCCGCTTGGCAGGCGGGCTCCAGGAGTCCCCGCCCGCCGAAAAAGCCAGACCCTGCCCGGCTTCTCCTGGGAGCCCGGCTGGACGATCTCGGGAGGTCCCGCAGCCCCCGAAGAAGCGGCGCCCAGGAAGGACGGGCAAAGGAGGTGCCGGCTGCCCGCCCTCCGCCTGCTCCTCTTTCGCGTGCCGGAGAAGAGGCTGCCGAGCCGCGGGGTGCCCTGAGCCGGAGCCCGGCGGACGGAGGCGGACGGAGTGCCGGGCGCCGCCGCAGCGGAGCCGCCCGGAGGGAAGCGCCGCACCTGCCCGCCCTGCGCTCACCTGGGGCGGCGGAGGGGCGGGGCGTGGGGCGCGGGGCGTGGCCTCCCTGGCCCTGCCCTCCGGCCGGCGGGGCGGGGCGTGGGGCGCGGGGCGTGGCCTCCC